TTCTAGAAGACTCGAGTTTATTCTTACTCGAGGGATAACTTTACTATCATTTCGTCCTAATTTTTTTCTTTTGAAAGTGCCCGTTCATTCTCAGCCCGAGCGCGCGACGCTCAAAACTTCAAAGCCGAATTTTCGAGATAGTGACGCACACTAGATAAGGAACTACGCGGGACCTTTGTCGAGTCAATCTCGCTCTTTCTTGCTGTTACGCCGCCGAATCGCCGCCCGCTTTCCCGCTGCCTCGACGTTTGTTGTTTATTTTGTTTGGCACAAGTCCGTCTATTAAACCTTTATATTCAGTTCACTGTTCGTCTTCTCGCCACCTTCATTCGTGACAATATATCCCAGAAACCGCCATGCACGGCAGTTGGGAGTGGATAACCCTTGCGTGGACACTTATCTGCTCGCGAACCATAAAAAGTTTAATACTAATTGCATAACGAAGTATTGTCGCCCTGTTGCCAAGGTCGTTTGTATTCATTGTTATGTATTTTTGTTTGCCGGGAGCCGTAAACCTAGTGATACTAGAGCAATCTCTGCGGGAGGATAGAAAATGTTTAAGATACGCGCTTGTTGGTTTCGGCTGTCTGTTCTACGCACACCCAAAAGAAATTGTACGGACCCTTCATTTTGAAAGTTCTTTTCGGGGGAATAAAGCATGTCGGGAAAGATTTCGGCAAAGCATCACGTGAAAAACGACTCCAGAAACCCGTTGGCAAAAAAAAAAAAGGAGAGTACTTTTTATGGTTTCGCACAAGTATACGACATTTTATAAACTTTTGAAAAGGAAGTGAACACGGTCAGACAGAGGCTATTCGTGACCCGAAAGGGACATTGCAAATTTACAATTTTCTGTTCGCCGCCAATTCTTCAAGTCCTAGTGAATGTGGCTTTACTCAGAAGTTGGGGAAGCAGCTCATGAGAAAGGACGATAGGAAGAAATGGTCGTGTATTGAAATATCTTACGTTTTGTGGCTCCAGGCTATGTAACTTTTTTAAAGATTTTTATAAAAAAAAAGAAAAAAGTTGTCTTGATCGGTTTGATTAGGGACACAGGGGGGGGGGGGGGGGGGGGGAGGAGGGGTAGGGGATTTACAAACAAGCACACCATTGACACCTCCCGCATCGATAATTATTATGGAATTGCCCCGAACACATCAGGGGGCGGGGGGGGGGGGGGGGTGGGGAGGCGTAATAACCTAGGAAAAGGTGTATCGCGAGGAAACTGTTTTATACTCAGGGACATATTGCTTGGCATTTTCGAGAAAAGGAGGACTGCGCGTAGGGTGACCACCTTCCTGTTAGCGAAATGCGGGATACGCCGGCGGGGCGGGGCGGGGGGGGGGGGGGGGGGGAGGGAGGGAGGGAGGGAGGGAGGGAGGGGCGTAGGGGTAGGGGGGTTATGAACAAGCATATCATGAACCGAGGCTCTGTTAACAGATTTAATATCCTGTGCTATTTATACACCTGCAAATTGTATTGCAGCAATTAAACCAAACTACTTTTCACTCCCAGTGATATATTTTAAGTTGAAAGCACAAACATCAACTGTAGCAGAACTGAATGTATCACATGGAAATAAAAAGCAGTAAATGTTTTTTTAGCTTATTATCTCCTGTCAAAGCTTCATTTTATCAACATGGTCCTACACACATTTTTAACTTTAAGTTCTTTTTCGACCGTTTCGAGTTGCAGGCTTTTTACCTTGTTTGGCTGTCTTCCCTAAAACAAAACTTTACAGCAACCCTTTCGTTACAGCGATTTAAAAATAAATACAATATTGTATATTTAAACTTTTTGCGAGCGATTTTTCTTAGAATATTTTGCCACCAAGGGAAGAGGCAAAACGGAGCATGCGCGTCGGTTCTTCAGCAAGATTGGCGGTCGCTTTCCGCAATGCTTGGATAGAAAATGATGTACCACTGCGATTCACACGATTACCAGGGACCTCCGCGCTTCCCCGTGTCCCGCTGCTCGGCAGCGCCATGAATTGCAGAGGGTAGTTTATGGCAGTCTGAAATGCGGAACATTTTGAACATTTGGGAATTTCTTGCGGTACGAGAGACACGAGCCCTCAATGCGGGACTGTCCCACGAGTCGCGGGACGGGTGGTCACCCTAGGTTCGATAATCGTGAAGCGCACAGAATATTTCTTTCATGTCATACGCGTTCGTTATGATCTGTTATTCTTGGGCCATTGTATTAGTATGTCTGCCATCGTCCCAGCAGATCAATGCTAGACGCTTCAAAATGTCAAAACCTCCGATTCTGTTTTAGAATTATTCATTTACGTACGTGCTGCTGAGGCAAAAGACCTTTCCGGGAAAACCCACAAGGTCTTGCTTCGACTGAGTTGCACCGCGCGGCGCGAGGGATTGTGGGGCCTTTTCGATGTACGCTCAGGCCAGCTCGTACGTTCAGCGGATAGAGAAAGCGGAACATTTCCTTTTATCTTAAAACTGCGAGTTCAGAAGACAAGGAAACTAGAGCGAGCATATCTCAAAGCCGATGCGTACCCTTTTTACAGTGGAGCTGTTAGAGGCTAGTTTCCCCAGTATCGTGTCCGTCAGTAAACAAATGATGACACGAAATTCTGGACAGCTACCGCCATCAATGAGCGACGGCGGCAACCACCGGTTGTCTCACTGGCGCCGTCGCTCATAGATGGCGGTAGATGTCCACCTTGCCGCTTCGGCTTGCTGACTTGCGGCCGGCCATTACTTCTTTCCCACCTTACTACAGCTTCGCTGGTCTACCTTCTTCACCAGAGTGGAAAGGCTGAAAGCTTTTTGTTATCATCCTGCTTTCTTTGTGTTCCGAAATCGCGTTAATGCTGAACAAACATAAACCGCTTCCTCTATCCACGGCTACTCTTTCACGATCCGCACATCGGATTGCTCTAGTGCGTCGACAAGGCGATGGGAGGCGCTGCGTGTTTTCGGAATGGTCTAATGAGTCAGCTCTATCTTAAATGGTGTTTTTGTGAAATCAAGCGAATGGGAGATTCTGCAGTATTACTCCAGGTATGTCCTATTTTTTTTAAAATAGACAGACACCCTCTCAGCGGTAGGATATCTTTATTGTGATCGTGGACAATTCTCTATTAACAATGTTCCGACCAATGTCCATAACATTCGACGATACGAATTAATTCGCTGTACTACGACAGTTCCTCTTGCACACATAATTTTTTAAATATTCTCATTTTGGGAAACCTATGTTTTTTTTTTAATTTATTTGACCTTATTTATATAGATGCAAGAATTTATCTTATTACTGCACCAAGAATTCTGACGCTGTCTGTGGTTAAATAAAAGGAGTCTTTACACTAAAGAATTCGGTACAGAACTATTACTTGGTTTAAACTATCTTGATTGTCTTTCAATCACAATCAGTGACAAAGTGAGGCTTGCTGTTCGATATTCAATGTGTCACTTACGCGTCAAACGTTTTTGTGTTCACATACTTATTTTCCAGCAACTTCACTACAACAGAACTGGCAATAAAATACGTAATGTATTTAATACTGTAAACAGGTGAAGCCTTTTCCGCGAGATCAGCAATGACATTGCAACTCATTCCCTGTTGCTCTTATTTAAAAAGTTAGATTCCGCTACGTGACTGTGGGCCTTTTCTCTACGCTAGAATGTTAAAAAATATATGTTCGTTTCATACGTGCACGTTTGATTTCACATGTAGTTACAATCACGAAACCTAAGATAACCATGAAAAGTTTGAGTCAGGCTTCAGTATATACAGGGTGTTTCACGAAAGGTGGACTAATTCCACATTGCAAAAACTACGCGTCGCAAAAAAAAAAAAAACGAAAAAAAAACGTGTCGTTTTGGTTTTGGGTCAGGGGCCTATTTAGGAAAATTCTTAAAGTCCGGGATAAATAGATTGTTAAGTATTTTTGCGTAATTAACTTTTTAATATTGTGTTTAGGGCATGGTATCAATTAGAAACTTGCTCAGCATCATCGAAAACACTAAATCAACAAATTGCAGAGAGATAGAAGGCACTCGCAGCATTTTACGGCTTTCTGAAGAACCGCACAAATTCGATGGGTTTTTAAGTTTCGGTTTGCAACCGGAGCGCATCTCGGCCCCGACGGCACCGCGCCAAGTGGAGAAATAGTGCAACCAACCTCTGCTGCGCTGTCCTTGCCCACCGCAGCAGAGGCTGGTTGCACTATTTCTCCACGGGGCGCGGTGCCGTCGGGGCCGAAATGCGCTCCGATAGCATACCCGACCGGATATTTGGAGACCCGGAATTCAAATCCCGGCTCCGCCGAAGATTTTGTCTTTCGGCGGCTTTGAAGAATTTGTTTCATTCAATTAAGAACTCATCATTCATTTGCATATATTTTGCTTTTTTTCCTTTTTGAAGACCGCGTACGGTGATGAAAAGTGCCTTGATTAAATTAAAACTTGCTTTTCATTCTTGAAGACAATGAGACCGTGTCTCTGAACCTCATAAAGAAGAAATAATGCAGGTACACGCGACACAGACAAACGGTCAGAGGAATTCTACAGCACAACTAGCACGAACCACCTGCCAGCAAGCGTCGTAGCACGTTCCACGCAGTAGTGTGTGCCTCGAAAACACTTCTGATTGGATACATTTAGTCTTGGTGCGTTAATAAGATAGAAGACGCCAGAAGGACATGGCGGTGTGGTGTAGTGGTTTGCATACCAGAACCGAATATTCACAGACCCGTTGTTCAAACCCCGGCACCGCCAAAAATTTTCTTTTTCGCTCCTTAGTAGTATTTGTTTCATTCGATAAAGTACGGTTCATTCATCTGTATATTTTATATTCTTTCCTCTTTGGAGGTCACGTACGATGAGAAGCCGTGCCCGTGAAGTTTTGTTTAGTTATATAGAAGTTTAGTTATGTACAGTAAGAGACTAGAATATACTCTCTATGTACTCGTCTGTAAAAAAAAAGTAGACGCTTCTTAGTTTATAACACTAAGAGGAATATATGTTTCTATCGTTTCAAAGAATAGCATGACTTAAATCTTCACAAAGTACTTCAGAAGCATTCGACTCGTGAAGTGTAACTGTAAGTCTGTATACAATCTGTCGTCTTTGCTCGCAAGAAATGTTAATCACAGTTTGAAGACACTGAAATAAATTTGGTGCCCCAAGCGGGATGTTTTTGGAGCAAGGTGCTCCTTTGAATGCACATTTAGGTTTAATAATGACAGAACCTTAGATGCGTGGCATACTACAAAACAATGAATGATATGGTACAGACATACTTCAAAGTATGATGTGTCATGCTACTAAGCGCCCTTCAAAGAGAACATTAGAAAGCATTACATGCACTTCGGCTTCAACTATCAGTCATGACCACAAATTATACGACAACCGGATGATTTCAAAATATACACCCTGGAACCATTTTGTCCGTTTTCATTCACTAAAGAAACTGGGAGTGCCAATCACTGTTTTCTACAGTGACGGTGAACAAATGACAAAACCGGAGAAAAGTTTTCGCAGAAAAGTGATTTCCACAATATGAAATTAAGCCTGACGCTTTGCGCGTACATGTCGTGTATAATATGGAGTTTTAGTAGACCGTGTTTCCCCCTCCGCTAACCCTCCGCTCCGAAGAAACCGCCACTGCGCCTGCGTGCCGATGGCCTTGGCTATAGAGTTCCGGGTAGCGGAGGTGCTTAGCGGAGGAGGAAAAACGGCCAATAAAACTCGCGAGTATCACATTATGTACGGCTCTTTTAGTTCGAAAACAGGTGTTTAATCTCGTCATTGGTAAAGACACTTTCGTAAATCGCAGCAAGCGCATCTCCGAGTTTTTTTGCGAAAAAAGTGAGCGCAAGGGAAAATGTTGAAGTATTCATGCTCCATTCTACATAGATTTTAGTAAACTGATATCACTTTCCGTGAAGGTTTTTACTCTTTCATTTTTAGATAGAAGCATACTATAGTCCCATTGACACCCAAAGAAATACAGGGCGTACTCTGGTATGTTCACTGCGATTCGTTCTTTTTTGGCGTCCTTATTGGTTGGTGCAGCAATTCAATTGGGTGATTGCGTAAGAGACGCGGATTGTGGCTTATGCTCACGCTTATGCGGACCGCAAGTTCGTCTGCTTACTTTGCTGGGGTTGTGGTGACGTCAGAACGGCGAGCTCTGATTGGTTCTGAATAAAAGATTGTGGGTAGACCTCAAGTAAGCTTGCTTTGAGGTCTACCCGCTATCATTCAATCACAGCCAATCAGAGTTGGGCGTCTTTTTGACGTCATCGCAACTCTAGCGCGAAAAGCAGACGACTTGCTCGCCGTATTGCTTCACGATTCGTTTTTCGGCTTTCGTATCGGCTAATCGCGCAAATTGTTGGCTGAGGATGATTAATATGATGATCGGGCCTCGTCAAACTACGCGTTTGTTATATTGTAAGTAACTATAATACTGCATAATATGTTTACATCATTTCAAATGTCAATTGAGGTTTACCTTTTAGCGTTTTTTTTTATATCAAGCTATTTAGAAAGACAAACTGGAAAACAAAACCTAACGTAAAAGGGTCCCTATGATTTCAAGGTGTGGGTAAATCCCAGGATTATCAAACATTATGTAGGGCTGGTAGTTTTCCGCACGTTCATGGTTATTTGTTCTTAACTGTGAAATATAAATTCCCCAAGCTAAACACTCACACACATGTTAGCAAGTCACGATGCGCAAAGCCTGCACTAATACCGAGGCTTCATTGCAGTTTCTGAATCACGTCCGGCAATAACAACCCTGCTGTGAAGACGACGCACTCTCCGGGGCAACTAGTTTGATGACGTTCTTGTTCTGACACGACACGCCGGGGCTCTTGATGAGAAGTTGTTGCCTTTGATTAAGCGGCTTAGCTTTGAACCGCAAAATCACCGGAGGCCGCTGCGCACAGCCCCGTTGCTTGGAGCCCGTCAACTTCCCAAACAGCCCCCAGATGCCGCTGCTTGTTGAAGGCTTCGCGTTAAAAGCAAGGTACACGTACGGATTCACAGCACTGTTGCTTGCGGATATCACACCAAAGATGGCCACCAGATTGCGGTCCATGGAGACGTGTTTGGCGAAGGCTAGCACCATTTCTTGAATGATGTACGGCACGTTCGTCACGAGGAACGCTACGAAGATAACGATGGTCATCCTGAGGGTTCGCACCCTAGCCCTAGGAAGCGTGTTGCCGGCGCTGTTCCTTCTGAGCGAGTCCTGGTCCCATCCGCCGAGCCTCCACATCTCCAGGAGTATCGTCGAGTACAGTGCGACCAGCAGAAATAGCGGAATTATAAACACGGACGAGAACACAAATGCCATGTAGACTTGGCGCGATATCGGCGGGTGGCTGTGGATGTAGAACAAGGAGGCGCAGTAGTACTTGTTGTTTTCCACTGTGACCAATCGAAAGACGAATATGTTGGGGAGCGACGGTATTAGAGACAAGACCCAGGCCGCCATAGCAAGTGATCTGGGTTTGGGAGACGGTGATAGGGGATTGACGATGGCGAAGTGACGGTCGATGGCTACGCTGACCAGCATGTAAGTGGACGACACTAAACTAAATGTCTGGAGGACCTTAAACAGACGACAAAAGAGGTCGCCCGCTATCCAGAGTCTGCCCATGACCTCCCAGACAAGCTGGGAGCTCATCGTGACCAATGTGACCAGAAGGTCGGCCAGGGCGAGGTTGAGGAAGAGGACTTGCGCCTTGAAGTAGCGATGACGCCTCGACGTCAAGAGTTTGAAACAAACCGCCAGGTTCCCAATCAGCGACACCACCAGCATTACGCTGATGAGGACGATGCGCACCGTGCTCGCGTAGCGGGGGCCCAGAAGAGCGTCGGCGGAGCTTTCGTTCCATGACTCTGTCCCTTGGGATTTCAGCGATGACTGAAGAGCGCCTTGATGGTATGGACAGGGATGCTGGTTGTCGCTGCCTCCCAGTGTTGCTTGGAAACAGCTGGCGTTGTGTGACTTCAAAGCGTCGAAGGATTCCGTCTTGAACAGCGTACTTTACCGTACGGTAGGTTCACTTTTGTTGATTAGACTGCGTGTCCCTTCTTCCTCGCACCCGCTGACCATAAGGAATACCTACAAAAAAGAGAAAATTACCGGATTATTTTTTGTTGCATATATTGCATTTGAAATTATTAAGACTTGTGAGGATAAAGATTTATCTTCACAAACAAACATAGTACAAACATATGTTGTACTGCATGTAGCACCGAAAGAACCCCAAGTAACATTCTTTCCCATTGCACCGTTTTTTTGCTCTTGCGTCTTTCAGCTCTTTTACGGTTAACATATGTTGTAAAGCGCTAACACTTTTTTCGTTACTTCAATCAATTCAATCGTTGTTTAGAGGTTTGGTGCTGCACATTCCGTTAACAAAATCAATCCCAACGATGACCATAGAGCGTCACCATACGCGGGTGAAGGAATTATCTTCTTGAAATGGTTTGGTTAGACCGTAAATCTCCGAAAAAAAAAAAAACAGAGCAGGTGGTAGGTAAATATTAGTGATAACGACGATCAGTGAGCTAAAAGTGTAACAGGATTACGTTATATTGTTCCAACGAGGTGCTAAAAAAAAGAATCTCAGAAATCGAGGCGAAAATCCAGAGGACTCTTGTTTATCCCTTAATCCGCCAAGAAATGAATTCGTTTAATCCGCCTTTAAGTATATGCGCTGAACTTGGTCGTCTGCAAGTATGTCCATATTGTATCTGGACGAGAATGCTCTCACTCTGTCGCTCCCGGTTGATAAGAAGGTTTCCGCGTTTTGGGACTTGGTTTTTTCGCACTATTCGCAGAGTGTATTTCGGAGTTTATTTGTCGCTGGAATTTTGGTGCTTATCGGAATTTATCTTTTTTTTTCCTTTTAGGTTGCCTGTTCTCCGCAATTCAAAGTTTATTCCTACTGTCCCCAGTTTTTTTTTCTTTTGTTATGTTGTAAATAAACATAAATAATGCTTGAACATAAACGAACCCTAAATTTGTAAAATTTCACCGGTATTTCTTCAGCTGCATTTGACGTTGGCGTCCTTAGCATTGGCAGCACTAACGTAATAACTGCGCAGGACAAGTCTTGGAAGCACGAGCTGCTTCAGTGAACGTCTGTACTTTTAAATAACCAAACTCGTTGACATATTCGTTAGGAAGCATAAAAGCTTAGCTGCACTCCCCCTCCTATGAAATCTACTAAATCATATATTTCACCTACACACACAAACAAATATTATTTAGGAACTACAAATAGTACGGTTGAAACTAGAAATCGGAATGGTGGTTTTTGTCGTGACCCAGAAGCAGATTGAGTGGTTGTCCTGAAGGAACAACTGGGATCACTCTTGTGAAAATACTGAGATTAGAAGACGATCAAAACAAAAATTAGGACCAATGACCATGTAATCAGCCAATATTTATTCACAAAAATTTTTTTTTTTGCTTTTAGTTCTTATGTTTGACCTTGAGATTCTGAATTTTTGAAGTAATTCCTAATTGACGAAAAGTTTGCCTTCGAGTGGTTTGCGGAGTTTTTCTGGTTTATCCATTAACATGGAAAACTAGCAATAAGATAGACGCGTCTCTGGCACCAACTGTATAAGTCGTTCAAAATACAAGTCTTATTTACACTCGTTCCTATCTTTATTACATAGGACGCCAGTGCATATTATGTCAAGAAAAATTTCGGAGAATGTTATTACTTTGCGGACAGCTTAAGCAGAGTTCGTATTTCAACTTTGGGACGAAGTAGACCCTAAGAAATAATTTTGCCTATAATAAGGTAGCATGTTTCGGTCGTTCACACTGACCATCAATTAGCGCATTTATGTGGAACTCATCTAACAATAACTTAATTAACGCGAATTCTCCTAAAACTGCCACTGCCGCAGGGACACCAATGCAGGTTTGAGACATGCACGGTGTCTGACTGGCGCAAATAGGTCAATCACACAGTTTTGTCGACTTAGTCATAATTCGTGAACACCTTCGCTTATATGTAACAGGTCTAGCGTTTTTCAGAGATGTAGATGCAGAGTCAAGCGTACTGAATGATAGGGTAGACAATGATTACCTTGAATGCACGAAATAAGATATCGGGGAAGCCAAAAAGTTGACAAATAGTTGAGAGGTATTACAGATGAGCGCTGGAGTCTTGCAGTGGGGGAACAAGGTCATTAAAAGAACTTTTTGCGACAGGGAACTCATGCATGTCGTGCGGTTCTATTAATGCGCCAAAATGTGCTATTGCATGTACTGAGCCGAAATGGCAATACTTATTAACCCGCTACGGTCAGTTCTTTAAAAAAGCACACATACACATAATTGTCTAATTGGAATAATTATTCAGCCGTGTTATGCGAACTCATGTTAATTAATTACGTCAGCGAGCATTGCGGAATGCTGTGCACTTGGGATAGAGGATAATAACGCTAAAAGAAAATCGAGCAAGTGAAAAAAAAAATGACGAACATCACTTTCAGCTAAACTTCAACCTAATTTAGGTTGAAAGTTGCGTTCGTTATTTTGTTTTGTTTTTACTTGTCCTTCGTTTCCTAGCGTTTCTTTGCCTACAGAACATAACGAACGGATGTTTTTACTTAAACAAAATGTCTTATTGAAGAACACTACATAGTTCAAGAAGCACACTTCCAATCCAGACGAGTGGCAATGTTATTAATTTACCTGAAGTGGGTGGTCGCACTAACTGCCCCATTTACGTTACAGAATCAAGTGATCCCATGAGAAACAATAATGAAAAAGCAACATAAAAGTTTTAAATTAAAATATTTTTTACTGATTACGTACGTGTTCTTACGCATATATTTGTTCTTCGGTAGTATTGTTGAGTTTTTTTATTGGTAACAGTATCTAGGAATAACTGACTGCCCGCTAATGGTTAACGTATCGTGTTCTTGTCCATTTCAGCATCGCCGCACGATTGGCGAAATAATACAACTGCTCACTTTGACCTGTCTCATTCCTGACCTTCGATAAGGGCGTTGCCCATGTTTTTAATCTCTTCTTGGCCTTTTTTTAAAAAAATCTAACAATGGTGCAAAAAGGCGAAGGACCAGAGAAGACGTACACGGACAGGCTGCTATTGTTCAGAAATCACATACATGAAAAAAAAAAAAAAAAGAATAGTCTTCTTTGTTTTTTCTCTTCTTCGCGCTATTTTTAGTTCGTAATGATGTATATCCAACTTGCTCAAGTTTCTACCATTGTTACACTATTGCTTAATCTATGGGGTTCGCTCGTTGAACTACGCCATTGATGTAGCCAGAAATACGCGAGGGACCGGCTAAAAGGATGAAATAGGATACAAAGAGAACAAGAAGAAACATGAACCGGGCGAACCTTGAGTGCATCTTCACAGTTTCAATACAAAGTGGCGTTTCCTCAGCCGGTTTCGAATATCCAAGTGTTCGCAGCGGGACCACTTTCTGCACTTCGCCAAAGTGATTGCTTCTTGTTTGTTTGATGTTTGGTGTGCTGCTTTGATGGAATTTTCCTTTCTTTCTTTTTTTTTTTTCCTTCTTTTTGTGAGGGGGAGGGGTTGGTGGGAAGAAGACGAAGTTTGGGTTCTTTTGTATGCTGGGAAACAAGTTTCTTTTTTTTTCTTTTTGTGAAGGTGCGTTTCAGTGCCTGCACCTTGTTTACTGTAATTCATATGTGTTCCAGTGTATCTATTCTCAAATACTTTTTGCCAACTTTTTTGCCAATCCTATAAAATAGAACGGTGTATTCTATATTGAACAAGATACACATCAAGGTAGAACTCTCGCGGTATATTAGAATATGTCACTATTGTCATTATCGGGAAGCTACTGTCGGGTCTTTGAATTCATCCATAAGATTTCCTGTTCAGAGGAGGTGGCGTTACCGCTGTGTAGCGCCGTCTTATCTGGAGTTGCGAATACAACAAAAGGGACTCTGGATGTCTTAAAAGGGCCGTGCAACAATATTCCCTTGGAATGGTTTTCACTGTACACCTGTTTACTGACACCAGCAGAACCCAAGTGTACTTGCACGCAACGCCACTCACCAAGAAGCCACTTTGTTACGGTGTCATTTAGAGGACAAAAGCGAGCGTTTCCATTTAATCTCTTCTTCGCAAAACTTGATGACGTTGCTGGGGGGTCGCGGTACCTCCCAGTGACGACATTTTAATGCGGCTCATAGATCGGACCCGAGCATTGCTGTAGCACTCGATTTGGGCTCGTGATAATCAATAGCTCGACAAGCATTAGGGTAGCGGCCTGTGTCCAATCACTTCAATAGCGAGTTTTAGTAGACCGTGTTTCCCCCTCCGCTAAGCCCCTTCGCTACCCGGAACTCTACAGCCAAGGCCATCGGCGCGCAGGCGCAGTGGTGGTTTCTTCGTATCGGAGGGGGAAACACGGTCTACTAAAACTGCCTAATAGCGAGTTTTAGTAGACCGTGTTTCCCCCTCCGCTAAACCCCTTCGCTACCCGGAACTCTACAGCCAAGGCCATCGGCGCGCAGGCGCAGTGGCGGTTTCTTCATAGCGGAGGGTTAGCGGGGGGGGGAAACACGGTCTACTAAAACTTCCTAATGTCTGCAACTCAGCGCGTGTCCTTCGCACTTGTCAACCCCAGCTTGTGGCTATGAATTTAGTGTTGGAGGTAACGCGTTACTAGTAACGACGTTACTGGTAACGCGTTACATTTTTTGCTAACGCAGTAACGTACTCGTTAGTATTCTGAATGACTAACGAGTAAAGTATTTCCGTTACTTTCTCACGGTATCGGCTATCAAATTACGTTGCTCGTTACTCGTTACTTTTGACCAAAACTGGTGAAATACATTAGGCATTTGGGAAAAGGTCACGACGC